GCAGCCACGAGGCCGGGCTTTCCCTCAAGTCTGTGGGCACAGCTGTGGGCTGGGGCCTGGGGGTTTGGTGAGGCCCAGAGGCCCAGAGGCCCAGCACGCCTGCAGGAAGCCGTCCGCCCCGCCGGGCCCCGGTTCTCTGTAAGCTGGGGTTTCGGCCTGGGCCTCGGGAGGTCCTGGCCTGGGTGGACCCCGGTTGGTGGTTTTTCCTCCACTGGGGCCTGTGCTCTTGGGGGAAGCTGCTGTCCACCCCAGCCTCAGTTTCCCCGTCTGGAAAAGGCAAGGTCAGCTCTGCCCAGGGTCCCTCCTGGGACTGGATGTGACTGTGTCTCCCAGCACTCCGCCAGATGCTGGGGTGGCGTCTGGGTGGGTGGGCCTTGGGTGAGGGTCCCCGGCCCCTGACCACGTGACCCTCTGGGCTTCTGAGCTTGGGGCAGGCCGTGCAGGGGCCACTGCAGGCTGCAGAAGGGGTCAGCCGGGGTGGGGAGCGGGGTGCTTGGGAGGCAGCCAGGCTGCCCCAGTTTGCAAGGAAACCTCTGGCCCAGTTTCCTGGGCTCCTGGCCCTGCCCCAGGATTCCTGGGGTGGGTGTGCCCATGCTTCCGGCCCGGGCCTGGGTAGAGGGATCCGGGGATCCCGCTGTCCCCACCCTGCCCGGGCGTCTTCACTGTGCTGCTGCTTTTCACTCCCGGAGACCCGGGCCCACGCTGAGGATACAGGTGAGTGGCCCACTCCTCCCACCCCTCCCACCCCGAGCCCCCGCTCCTCCCACCCCACCCCGGCCCAGGTGACCCTGCGGTGGTCGCTCTGGAAGTCTGTGCCCGCCGCTCACGTCTTTGTGGCTGCACGTGCGCACGTCGTAAGCTGCCCAGCGCCAGCACCTGCTCGGGCTCTGCATGGAGGGTTGACCCCCAAGGGTCTCAGGCCTCAGTCCTGGCCACTCCAGCCCCAGCCTGAGATGGAGTCACACCCAGACGGCTGCTCGCTGGGCTACCAGGCACCTACAGGCGGACACTTCTAGGGCCAAGCAGGCCACCACCACCCCTTGGTGGCCACAGCCTCAGCCAAGGGCTGTGGCGGGAAAGTGTGGCTGCTGCAGCGTCTGGCTGCCAGGGGAGGGGTAGCAGAACCAGCTGGGCAGGCCCGGTTGGGGGCCCCTGGGGGCCGAAATCCCTTGCTGGGCTCCCCAGGGCCAGCCAGACATTGCGAGCGAGACTCGGCTCCTGGGGCCGGGGAGCCCATCTCTGTGGAGTCCCTGCTGAGCACCAGAGCCTGGGTGAGGTTGTGGGAGTTCATGGCTAATTTTCTATTCCGTGCCTGCATCCGGCGGGAGTGCTGACAGGCACCGCTGAGGCCCATGCCGTGGCGGCCACGGCTCAGAGGCTGAGCAAGTGCCACCGTGCCACGGCCAGGGCCCATCCCTGGGAGGACCCTCTGGCCTGGGGCTCGCCTGCCCTGAGCGAGAGCAGGAGTTGTTCTGGGCAGGCATCGCGCTGGCTCAGGGGGTGCCACACACGTCTCTGGCACCTGGAGCCTGCTGGTTTGGGCCATGGAAGCTCCGTGCACCCGACAGACTCATGGGCCCCACGCCTCTGGGATGGGGTTGTGTGGCAGTGGGAAGGGAGGGGCTCTCGTTCTGCGCAGCTGTGAGGGAGAGGCCTGGACAGGCTCCGTGACCAGCTCTGTGTGGCTGGGCGGGGGCCGTGTCAGGGCAGGGGGCAGGAATGCCTTCCGTGGGACCCCCGCCACCGCTCTGGGCGGTGCACACTGTCCCCTAGTCCCTTGTGTGGCAGAGACTGGGCTCACCTCACCCTCCAGGGCACCGCCTGCAGAGAGGTTGTGGGGCCCGGATGCGGCCATCCAGTGGCAGAGCACGGGGGACGCCAGGCTGGCAGGGGAGAGCCGTGGCTGCGACCCGTGGTTTGTCCCCAGCTCCCAGGCAAGGTGGCCTCACTGTGAGACAGTCTTGGTGTCATCGGCAGGTGTGGGCACCCTTGGAAAGGCAGCAGTGGGTGGGCAGCACGCCGTGGGCCCGCTGGGCGAGGAACAAACAGGCCGTCAGCTTGGAGCATCTGAGGAATCCAGGAGGTGCCCTGGAGGTGGTGGCCCTGCAGCCCTGGGCTCTTTCCAAAGCCGACTGCCAGGGCCGTGGCCGCGGGGCTCCGAGTCCAGCCCTGGGGCCTGCCACGTCCCAGGCGCCACCCCACGCCAGCCCTGGGGCCTGCCACGTCCCGGGCGCCACCCCACGCCAGCCCTGTTCCGAGCACATCTGCTACAGCAGCCCCGCCAGAGCTCCGCCTCTGTCCCCGTCCCCATGGAAACCCGGCTGGGGGGGCTCCTGCTGCGTTTGTCCCCCAGACTGGCTTCCGGCAGAGCCAGCCTGCTCTCCCTGGCCCTGCCCCTGAAGCCCACGGCTTCCCCCCGGGGGTGTCTTCCCACATTTGCTGAGCGCCCGTCGGCCTCTTTGGGAGCCCGGGTTTGCCGTCCTCGTGACCAGTCCCCACCCAGCTGTGGCTGCCCTTGGCCTTGGGCTGGCGTCCTGGACTGAGCCCCGGATCTGGGTCAGGGGCCTCTCGGGCCTTAAATGAGCCCCTTCCTCTCTGGGAGCCTCAGTTTACCCGTCTGTACCAGGGGAGGTGACGCTGTGCCAAAAACGAAAGACAAAGAATGAAACCACAGTAGCGCCAGTGCCTCTGGGCTCTCAGGGCTGGGCTGTTGTTTATTTTTAGTGTTTCTTTCTTTCTTTCTTTTCTTTTTTTTTTTTTTTAAGGGACAGAGCTGTGGGATTTGACTGGAGATAGAGGCTGAGAGCCAGCCTGGGGCCACAGACGCTCAGCACGTAAGGCCTGGCTCGGCCGAGAGCCCTGGCACCAGTGACCTGCGTGGAGGCTGAGTCGGACCCCCGGTCAGACGTGTGGGCGGAAAAGGAGACCCAGCTTTCAAAGGAGCAAAAGCCCCAGCTGCTCACCCCCAGGGAGACGGGGAAGCCGCTGGGTGCACCAGCTCGCCTGCCCAGGGCTGGTCCCCCTGTGGCCGCCGGCAGCATGGAGGTCTCAGCCCAGCCATGTCCCTGGAGCTGGCGGAGGTGGGAAGCTCCCCGGGAGATGGGGTCGGTGGCGCTGGGCCTGGCTGGTCCCGTCGCGGGCACTGGCTCTTCTGAACCGCAGCAGGGTTGTGTTCCCTGCAGCAGAGCCTCGGGGCAGGGGGGCCGCCTGCTTGAGCCCCGCTCTGTGGGGTGGTACCTTGACCTCCAGGGCTGTGAGGGGAGGGGTCTGCTGGGTAAAGGCAGGAGACAGCTGTCCAGCGTGCTGGCCGTGAGCGAGGCAGCGACCGGCAGACCCTGCCCAGGCACACCTGCATAGCTGCTGGAGGCTCCAGGCGCTGCACTCGGGGGGCCCGGGGGCTGGGGTCTCCTCCTCTGCCCACTCCTGATCTGCGCCAGCCCCCCGGGCTCACCAACCCATCCTGGGGCAGGAGTGACCCTTGGGCTGGGCACTGGCACTGCGTCTCAGGAAAAGGAAGCAGAACAGTGGGCTGCAGCCCCACCGGGCTGGGGTGGGAATCGGGGGGCCTGGGGTGACGCAGGGTGTGAAGGGACCTGGGGGTGAGGCGGCGTGATCGAGGTGCCCCCCCTCCTCGCAGTCTCTGCACCCTGGGGACCCGAGGTGGCAGAAGCAGGGTGGCCGGTGGTGCTGCCCAGCCCCCAGCTCCACCTTGTCTCCTGGGCAGGAGGCAGCGCAGTGAGGGGCCGGGATCTGACGCCTGTTGACCTGGGGTGACCGCACAGAGCCCCAGCCTGCCGCCAGCCCTGTCTCAGAGGCGAGGAGCCGTGCTCCGGAAGGCTCAGCTGCTGTCCTAAAACTGGGCCTTCCCCTCTGGCCCCAGAGGGGTCCGGGGCAGGGCTGGGGCAGCGGTGGCCGCTGTCTCGGTGGACAGGGAATGCCGTGGTGCCAACAGGCAGGGACCCGTGGTGCACGGCAGCTTGTTCTGTTAAGTTAATCTGACACTTTCGGTTTGCACATCTCCTGCATGGCCCAGGGTCCTCTTCCTCCAGGCAGCCCTCACAGACTGCCTGCCCTCCTCGCAGTGGGTGGTTCCTGCCAGCCCAGCCCCTGGCCCGCCAGCCCCTCCCTCGGTTCCATCGCAGGCATGGAAGCCCTCCTCTTGCTGTGGTGCCCGTCGCGGGGTCTGGGACGCACACTGCCCTGCTGGGGACCTGGCACCTGAAATGGGCTTGTGGCAGCTTGGTTAAGGCCACCGACCCCCAGCCCCCGGGCCCCGGCTCACTCTGGCCCTCATCTGCCGCACGGCCTGTGACAGTGAGCCCGGGGGGAGCTGAGGGGACAGACTTGGCGCCCAGGCTCTGGTGTCTGCTGTGGGGGCCGGAGGAGAGGCTGGTGCACAAAGCTGGGGCGCCGACCTGGTGCCTGCGACACGGGGGAGTCTGGAAGCTCGGCCCTTCCTCCTGGGGTGGACGCTGGGTTAAGTGGCCATGCCGACGAGGCCAGGTGGCTACTCGTGGGCTGTCGTGCGGGGCGTGCTGGGGTCGTCGGGTGTGGGAACCCCCGGAAGCCACGTCTCGCCAGGAGCTGGGTGTGGCACAGTGTCCTGGGTGCTTGTTACTGGTTTTCTTTTTTCTCCATTTCCCAAAATCTTGCGATGGAATGGAAATCAGAAAACAAAATCCATCTGGCCCGAGGGAATTGACCTGCCCGGGTCACCCCATCTGTCCTCCCCCAGACCCCAAATCTGCTCCCTGAGTGGCCGGGGCCGCCCATCGGTGCCTGTCGTGGCGGCTGGGAAGGTGCAGAGGCCCTCGGGGGGGGGGGGCCCTGGAGCGCATGGGGACTGCGTGCTCCACACCCAGTGCGGCTGCTGATCGTGGTGCCGCCGCTGCCCGAGGCCCAGCCCACCCTGGCTGCGGGCACATCTAGAGTCGCTGTCTGGAAACAGGACTCCTTTCCTGACTGCTCTGTGACCAGGCCTTGTTACCCTGCCGTTGCAGATGCCGACGTGGCTCGGGACAGCGCCGGCCCAGCAGCGAGCTCCGGGTGGCTGCGTGGACGGCCGTGCGTTGGGCTTTTCTGGAAGCAACGTGGTAACTCGCAGGATGTGGGTGGCTGCCTGGCGGGAGGTCCTGCTGTGTGTGCTGGGCGCTTGCTGCTTTACCCCTGCCATCAGGTTCACCCAGCAGGTGTCCGCGGCCGCTGTTAAGATCTGAGCTGGGACTGAGAGAGGCCAGGGTGCCCAACAGCCTCTGCTGTCACAGGGGTGACGGCTCTGCCACTCGATGTCAGCACACCAGCTGCCATGGGCCCAGTGGAACCACTGTGCTGGAAGAGCCGAGCGGCGGGCACAGCCCTGGTTTGTGCACCTGCCCCGTTTGTAGATGAGGAGACGGAGGCCCAGGAAGGTTCAGGGCTTGTCCACCCGAGCTGGGCACCAGCGGCCCCTCTGGGCCCTGCAGATGCACCCTGGGTGCTCGTGGGCAGGGTCAGGGAGGACCCAGGATTGGCTCTGCCAGGGCCTCTGGCTCAGCCCTGTGCTTTTCAGGTAGTCGGCACAGCCTCCACGGTCCTCGAGCCGCCAAGACGGCCCAGGTGGGGTGACCACGCCCGGGGATGCTGGCTTCAAGGGGGCAGCTCGGGGAGGCTCCCGTGGGCCCTGTCGCATCTCAAAGGCTCTGTGTCTGAGGGATACAGTGAGGCCCCCAGAGCCAGTGTCCCTGCGGCCGGAGCTCCCTGTGCCTGCCATGGATGTGGCTGGGGGAGAAGCCCTGCCACCCCCCCCGCCCCGCTGGGGCCCACGTGTCCAGCTCAGCCTCTCGCCCACTGTGCCTGCACGCCTGGTTTCCGACGTCAGTGACGATCGATGCAGGCTGCTGACAGAAGAGGGGCCTCACTGCTGGGGCTGTGGGAGCTGGGGTGCACTGTCCCCAGCAGTGCCCTCCAGGTGCTGGGCAGTGGGCCCTCTGCCACCCACCCCAGCCAGGCTGATGTCCCAGGCAGGCCCCCGAGCTGCTGCTCCGTCGGCTGCAGGGGAGAGCCTGGGTGATGCTCCGGGCCCGGGTGGCTGGTGAGGGGCCGCGTGGGCTTCCCCAGCCAGAGCGCTAGGGGTGTCTGCAGGCTGCAGCCGGCCAACCCTGCAGGGCCCTCAGGTAGGGGTGGCAGCGGCGAGCAGGGAGTGCGGCCATCCAAGGCGAGGGCCACGAGGGGCCCTCCCCCGCACCCGGTCCCTGTCCTGCAAGTCAGGGCAGCAACCCGCCGGAGACCAGGAGGCCCGAGGAGGGACAGTGGCCAGGCCGGGGCCGACCTCGGCTCCATCACCTCCAGCTTCTCTGGGGCCACTTGCGGCCCTCTGGATGCAGATATGGGTGCTGGTGGCCGCCGGCAGGGTCCTCCAGCCCCTGGGGCCCTACGAGTGCTCAGGGAGGCTGGGGGTACAGCCGAGAGGAAAGTGGTACCCCCTGATTTGTGGTGGCCGGGGTGACCCTTAGTTAGGAGGGAGTTGCCTTGATCCTCAGGTCACGGGGTCTGGGCGGCGTGCAGAGTGGAAGGGGAAGGGGCGACCTTGGCATTGCAGGGGCCGAGTGCGGGCTCCCGGTCCTGGTGTCCTCGTGGACTCAGTCCTGGTGCGCCCCGACTGCTCTACTCACCACTTGGGAAAAGCCCGACGTCCTGTTTGCACCTTTGAAGGCCTAGATAGCGGATGCTGCTCCAAGAGCAGGGTGGGGCAGCGCGTCCCCTTATCCTGGGTGCCAGAGACACAGGCCGGAGTCGGGGGGGGGGCAGTGCAGACCTCAGGCAGCCAAGGCCAGGGCCTCCCGCCTGCTGCGAGAGCCGGGGAGGCCCCAACCCTGGAGAGCTCCCTGTAATGGAAGGTCTTCCGTAGCGGAGCTGGCCCCTGGGAGGCGAGGCGGCCTGGAGCAGGGGACGCTCCTGTGACAGTGACCCTGCTCTGCCAGGGCGGGCGGCCGGAGGAGCCCAGTCTCCCCTTCCTTTGCAGGCCCTGGACGTTGGGCGGGGCGGGGCTGGGCTGGGCAGGGTCTGTGGGGGGCAATCAGGGGGGCCACAGTCTGGGCTTTGCTCGCAGTCGGTTTTCGGATGGAATTCTTCCCCTCTGGGCTCCCAGGCCTCTGCCGTGGCCGCGGTGAGCGGTGAGCGGTGGGTCAGGTGGAGGGAGGGGACCCCGAGCCGCTGGAGCTGCCCAGTTGACTCCTCTGTCCCCGTGTCTTGCAGGAGGCGGCCATGACCAGCGCACCCCTGAGCCGGTGGGAGTCTGGCGTGCACTTGGAGCCCCGTCCCCAGGACCTGAGAGCCCAGGTAGCTGCGTCCTTGCCCTGGGCCAGGGTGAGGTGGGGCCCGCTGGGGTCAGAAATGGCCTGGGAGCGGACAGCTTTGCAGAGAAAGGGACCTCGACAGCAGGCTGCCCTGTCCAGTCTCCGGGGTGCACGCGCTCCTGGCAGGTGTGAGGCGCTCTGCCCAGAAAGGGAGCCGGCCAAGGGCCCCCGGCTGGCTGCGTGCTGGTGTCACCCCAGCCTTGCCTACCTGCCCGCAGCCCCGTGGGGCCTTCCCTCCCCTCCTGGAAGTGGGGACAGGGACGGAGTGCCCAGGAGAGCACAGGGAGTGCGGGGCCTTTGCAGAGGTCGCCTGTGCTGGCCCTGAGCCTGCTGCGCTATGCCAGGTGACCGGCCCCGGTTCCAGCCCCGCACTGCCCGAGCCTCAGCGCGCCCATCCCTGAGATGGGCATCAGCACCTCCCGGTGGAGTCGGGGATGCACCCGTGGCTTCAGTGAGTGGGTTCAGGGAGCCTCTGTACGTGTGAGAGGCACCCAGGAAGTGGGAGGCGTTCATACTTCCGGGGAAGCTGCCCTGGGTACTTGGCCCCACCTGGCAGCCCCTGCCTCCCCTCCCCATCTGTGTCGTGTGCGTTTATCGAGTTGGGGTGCAGGTGCGCCAGCGTCACACGGACGGCCTCTGCCCCACCCCGTGCCGTGACTGGCAGCCCCCGCTCCGGGGGGCGGGGCCTTTGTTGGCAGCGGCTCTCTAGCAGCCAGGCCTGCTGTGGCTGCTTGGCCTGGGTCAGTTCCATGCCCTGGGAAGGGGGGTGGAGCCAGCAAGGATAGCGCGAGGGGCTGAGTGGGAAGGAGCGAGACTGACTCCTTGGGACCAATGTGTCGCCCCGCGTATGACGAGTGCTGCGTGTGGCTGCCGGGCCCACGTGGCTCTCTGGTGGTGTCCCCTTGCACACTGGGACAGCACCCGTGTGCAGGCCTGGCCTCGCAGCTGCTGCCTGTCAGGCCTGTGGGCTCCTGGGAATGGGCACCAGGCCTGGCCGAGGGTTGGGGGTCTGGCTCGTCCTGACCCCCTCCTGCAGAGGTGAACCTTGGTCTCACTGCAGCACAGGTGGGAAGGGAACTAAGGTGTGGAAGAGAGAGAGAGAGAGAGAGAGAGAGAGAGTTTGCGCACCTGCACATGCGGAGCAGCGTAAGGTGATACGGACAATTTAGGAAGGAAGAAACAAACAGCTGAGAAAATTAGGGCAAAGGAGACATCGAAGGCAGGCCTCGGAGCAGCCACTCTGTCAGAGCTCCCCAGCAGCCAGAGTGAAGAGGGCAAGGCGTCCCTCGCGTCAGTGACACTGGGAAGTGATGCCGGGAGGGCGCGGACCCGAGGAGGGAAGGAGCTCCTGCCCCAGGGTTCTCACCGGACTGAGCGTCCCTGTGCTGCTTCGCTTCGTTCTCCCCAACCCTGAACACCCAGGACAGGAGAGGGGCTCTGAGTGTGGGCCCAGGACACCGCTGCCTTTCAGCCCAGTGTTTGGGGTCCCAGGTCTGCCGTGGCTCCTGGGGTGGCCGTGGGGCAGAGTGGATGGGGTACAGACAAGGCCCGTGCACCCCTCCCCCCACGCCGAGACTTGACCAGCGTCTCTCTTTCCTCCCAGGTCTCACCCCCTCTTCGTGGCCACTTCCCGGTGATGCTGGAAGCCTGAGTGACTCCACCCGCAGGTCAGCCCCTCCCTCCTGGCTCCCACCCTTGCCGGGCGTGCCTGACTCTGGACACACAGGTAACACGTGTGTGCACGTGCACACATAGGCACCCACGTGGGCCGCTGCAGGCTTCTTGCTCATTTGCGTGGGCTCAGCAGGGTCCATGCCGACCTTGGCTGCCACCGTCCGCCAGCCCCGCCCAAAGGCCAGGGTCCACGGAGAAGTTAGGGGCTTGCCCTGGTCTCACGGGGGGCTGGGCTGGGGCCTGCCTTTGTGGACTGAAGTTCCTGTGTGCGGGGCGGGGCAGCCAGGGTGGCCGGCTGGGCTGGTGGTCACGGGGCTGCTGGCCACAAACGCAGATTCCCCTCGGGGCTGCCCAGCTGAAGGTGCCCCGCACGCCCTGCCGGTGAGGGCGGCCTCGTGGCTGTGCCGTGCTGGGAACTTGCTTGGCTGTTGCCAGGCTGGGCCCCTGCTCGCGCCTCGCCCCGTGAGCCAGGCCGCGGGGCAGCCACTGCGTGATTGCAGCCTCCTGGGGAGTCAGTGGGAGGTGGGGTTGGGGCAGGCCCCACCGTCACCAGGACTGGAGCAGGCCACTCCCACGGCTGTGGATAGGACCTGGGTTGCTGCGTGTGACCTGAGTGGCCAGTCTGCCCGGGCCATGGCTCAGAAGTGGGGTGTGACCCAGCTGGGTCAGGGAGAAAGGACAGCGCAGAGCGCCCTGGAAACCGAGGGCGTGGCGTTGCCCTGGGGGACATCCTGGCCAGAGGTGCGGCCGGGCCCAGGTGCTCGAGGGGCCTTGCCGAGGGGGTCCGGTTTGCGGAGCTGGTGCCTTCCCGCGGGACCCCCTCTCGCCCGCACACGGCTGCGGCACACGCAGTCTGCCCCACACGTGAGCCGCTGCTGGAAGTGAGACCCGAGGGGCAGCCTTGGCAGGCGCTGGAGCACAGACCGTGCCCTGGGCCCTCGGACCCACGTCCCGCGGGAGGCCGTGAGAGCAGGTCCCGGGAGCCTGGGTGGGCGTCCCTGAGGGGCTCCGGGTCAGGCGCTGGTGCCGTGTGTGCCTGGGCCCCGGCACCGCACGCTGCCCTGGCGTCAGCAGTAGGTGCCTCCCCGGGGCAGGCCACATAGCTGCGCGCCCTCCGGCGGCCGTGGGGCCTCATCACCCGTCTTGTCCTCCCACGGCAGGGGCTCGGCCGCAGGGGGACCTGCTCACCGTGGCCTGCAGCCTGGAGGGTGGCCGGGCAGCAGAGGCCCTCAGAGGGGACTGCAGCTTGGCCCGGGTCACTGACTCCACATGTCTCTGCTGGACCCTCCCCCCAGCCTAGGAGGCGCCTCCGCCTCCGCCCCCTGCCCTCCCCAGGGCACTCGCCCCAGTGGGCGGGCACAGCAGGAGTGTGGGTTGGCGGGGTCCGCCCCTGCTGAGAGGCTGCTCCAGTGCCCACCCAGCTGGTGAGGATGTGGGGACACAGGGTCCCGAGGCTCGGGGCAGGGGTGATGGCCTGACCCCCACGGCAGAGCCACACAGAAGCCCGTGTGCTCCTTGGCCACACACAGGGGCTTTCCCTTTGCACCTGCGGTGCGGGGGCCATGAGCGGCTGGGGATGGGGCACTTTATTTGCCAACAAAGAGCGGACATTGTGGCTGCACTCTGGTCGCGTGGAGGGCCTGTGTGCGGCTGGGCTCCGGGAGGCGGGTGGCCGGCCACCCCTGGGGACCTCCCTGCTCTCTGCACCCGGACCGAGCCGCTTCTAATGGACTCCCGCGGGCCAGGTGTTCCCTGCGTGCTGGGACCCGGGCCGAAGCCCCTCCCACAGGGACCCGTCTCCCAATGCCCCAACCTGTGCAGAAGCAGGCCTGTATGTGGGTGAACATGGTCTCACTGTGGTGTACGGCCCGGGGCTCGCTGGGGCACTGTGGGGTGGGTCAAGGTCAGCCACCCAGGCCCCCGCTGACGTGCTGCTGGGGGCGCCCAGGCCGCCGTCCTGGGCCATCCAGGGTGCCGATCCCACCTGTTCCAGACAGGAGCTTGGTTCTCCCAGATCAGGGAGTGGAAGTCTCACGGTGCCCAGCGCTTGACGCCAAAGGGGCAGTCGAGGGTGTGAGGTGTCGCCCCCGTGGCTGTCAGCGGGGGACGAGAGGCTACAGCGCCCTGCCATGGAGGGGGGCAGCTCTGGCTCCTCCTAGATGCCACATGACCGCACCAGGTAAACGGCCCTGGGTCTCCGTTCTCCTGTCCCTAAGGCATGGGCACCTCCCGTGCTGCTGTGTGACTGTGGGGAGGTAACTTAGCCCCTCTGTGCTGCCTTCTTGCACCTGAGGGTGGGGTTGTCAGCGGACCGATGGGTCACCAGGCGTCAGGGGCTGAGGTTGGTGGCCAGCCACACCAGAGGTCCCCGGGCGGGAATGTGGGCAGGTGGGGACACGAGTCACCCTGGGGTTGTCAGGGCAACCCCTGCCCTCCCTGCCGCCCCCGTGGAGCCATGTGGCCCAGGGCTCCGATCCCCCAGGCTGAGCCCTCCAGCGTGTCAGGAGTGCGCCCTGACCCTGTTGCCCCCAGCCCGGGCCTCAGTGCCGCCATCTGCAGAGTGCTTGAGCTCCGGCTTTCTCTCACTGGCAGTGGCCACGTGGCTGGAGCCACGGCCCTGGAGCACGAGTGAGATGCCGTGACGATGCACGGCAGGCAGGGGCAGGGGCGTGCACAGGGCAGGCTCGACTGTGGATGCCCAGGAGGGCGTGCGGCCGCCATCCCTGGGGCCGGACCCCCGGCAGCCCCTTGACAGCCCTCCCTGCACCCACAAGGGTCCCTGGCCCACTGGTCCCTGGAGCACAAGAGGCTGCCCCTGCCCTGTCCCCCAGACAGCTCCCCTCCCCCCAGGACCACCCGAGCCCTGTGGGGGCTGGGGCAGCAGGAAGGTTCTGGAAACGGCCTGATACCTTGCCCCTGGCCAGGCCCTCAGGGCCTCAGTGCCGGGCGGCGGCTGCTTCCAGACCGGATGGGCCTCCCCCTCCCTGCCCGCGGTCCCGCCCTCCAGCTCCACTGCCTTTGTCTTCCCAGGGCTCCACAAAATGGCCGCCCCGCCATCCGCCATTTTGTAGCTGAGGCATGCTGCAGCCTGGTGGGGGAAGAAGTGGGGAGACCACTGGCCAGCGGCCTGGCCTGGGTAGCCGGGACAGAGCCAGCGCCAGCCCCCACCCCTGCCCGGCCTTGGCTGTCACTGTGCCGGGCTTGGCATCAGGCCGTGGCTTGGCAAGGCTGGGCCAGGAGTCCTGGCCCCTCACCCAGCCCTGGCCACCCTGAGACGGCCCTGGCCGGCAGACAGAGCAGCCACGATGAAGGCCCGGGCCGGCGTGGCCAGTTCCTGAATGACGTCTGCTCCCATGGACCTGGCTTCCCTGAGCCGCACCAAGCCAGGGCCGGGCTGGCGTTGGCACCCTCTGACCTGCTGGGCTCCCAGGCCAGGCTCCAGCCAGGAGCAGGCAACTCCAGGCCTCAGGAGCAGGGTGGGGGCTTCCTGGAGGAGGCTGCTGTCCCATGGCCCCCCAGGGCCTGGCCCCGCTGTAGTTCTGGGTACAGAGTGGGGTGGGTGGTGCCTGCCCGCCCAGCTTGACGCTTGTGCAGCAGCCCCAGGTCCCTGAGGAGCCCCCAGCCTCCTCCCGAGCTGTCTGCTTGTCCGATAGCCCCAGCCGGGGTCAGGGGTCAGAGCAGCATGTTCAGAGGGGCCTGGGTACCACAGGGCAACCCCAGGACATCCCCAGTGGCCAGGGAGCCCGCCTGGCTGTGGACCGTGGGACAGCCTGCTCTGCTGGGTGGCCTGACCCAGGAGCCCAGCGTGGGCTCTGCAAGGGTGGCTGGCGAGGCTGCCGTGGCCGGAGGTGGGGAACAGGCTGGGGAGAGACGCTCGCTTCGGAGGTGCGCACGCCGTTTCTCCCGGCAGCCCGAGCGGCCCTGGCCCTACACCCTCGGTGTGGCCTGTACGGCCCCTGGCCGCGGGAGAAATGTAGATGGACGGCAAGGGGTCTTGTCCTGCCTCTGTGGGCCCCCCGCCAAGCCCTTTGCATCTGTGTGTCCCGCTCCAGGCCTGTCCAGACCTCTGTCTATCCTTGGGGTCACCCCCCAGAGGCTGGCAGAGCCAAGGAAGGGGCCTCCCACCCGCCGAGGACAGCACTGCCCATGCGCCCGGCCCAGAGCCTCCTGCACACGGCCGGGCATGAGAGTCCCCTGCGTCCAGGGCAGGAGAAGCCCCCAGCAGAGGGGCCGGAAGGTGGGGCGCCCAGGACCGGATTCAGGCTGGGCCGTTCTTTCTTTTTTTATTTATTTATATTTTTTTGACAGGCAGAGTAGACAGTGAGAGAGGAGACAGAGAGAAAGGTCTTCCTTTGCCGTTGGTTCACCCTCCAATGGCCGCCGCGGCCGGCACGTTGCAGCCGGCGCACCGCGCTGATCTGAAGGCAGGAGCCAGGAGCCAGGTGCTTCTCCTGGTCTCCCATGGGGTGCAGGGCCCAAGCACCTGGGCCATCCTCCACTGCACTCCCGGGCCACAGCAGAGAGCTGGCCTGGAAGAGGGGCAACCGGGACAGAATCCGGCGCCCCGACGGGGACTAGAACATGGTGTGCCAGTGCCGCAGGCGGAGGATTAGCCTAGTGAGCCGCGGCGCCAGCCGGCTGTTCTTTCTTAAGGATGATTATATGTGTGTGAGGACAGAATATTTTCACGCCTTTGAGGACGAAGCTATTGCCTGATGGTAGCGGGGCAGAGAGGGGCTCCACCTCCCCAGCAGAACCGTTTTCCTAGCCCTGGACTGAGAGCCCCCCGCCCCACCACTAACCTGCCTGCCCTGCAGCCGCTGCCTCCCTACAGAGGTGCCTGGGGCTCACCACTGCTCACAGACACGGCAGGGGTCAGAGCCGTGGCCCGCGGCCCATGGCCTGCTCAGACAACCCAGCTGCCCCAGACCTGTAGCTCCCTGGCCTCGGGGCCGGGGATGACTCCTCTGGGCTTCAGAACTCCTGCACCCAGGGCAGTGCACAGCCCCCGCCCCTCCCCAGAGCTTGGAGGCTACAGGCGAGGAAGAAAGCTGGGAGCCAGCTGGGGTGTAGAGTCCTCACAGGGTGTAGACGTCCCGCAGTGAGTGGCCGTGTGAGGGGTGCCGGCGCTGGAAGGAACCCAGCTCCGAGACTTCTGGATTCCAGGTCTGGTTTGGCTCCCGCATGCCCATGGCAAGGTTTTGGGGGCCGTGGCCAGGATAGTGAAGCCCTGCCCAGCCGGAGGCCGGACGGCCCCTTTTCGTTTCGGTTCCGTATCTTTATGTTGTGGGCTGTCTTTTGTTGCTGTTGCATCATCATCATTTTATAAACGCGTGTGGAGGTGTCGCCTCGATGGCTGACTGCTTAGGTTTTGCTCCCCCACCCGTGTGGTGGGCACGGCCGCCCCGGGCCGCCGCTAACTTCATGGGCCGCGTTCGCGGGGCACCGCCCCCGGCCCCCGATGCCACCCTCCTGCTGCTTTCCCAGACTCCATTGTTGGCACGGCCTGCTGAACAGAAACACTGGCTGCTTTATGGGGGGAACCTAATCAGACCAGCGGGGGGGAGGGGGGGGCGGCTCCCGGTGGCCCCGAGCCAAGCCCAGGGCGACTTCGGGTGACACCGTCTGTCTGCCTTGCTCGCTCCAGACATCCGCCTGGCCCTGAAAGGGCCACCTGCCCACCGAGGCCTCCCACACACCTGTCCCTGGCTCCTCCCCCACCCGGGCCTGCCCGGCACCCTGCCCACGGGCAGACTCGGCAGGGCCGGGCGGTGGCAGATGGCAGACGGCAGGGCGGCTTTGCTCGGGAGCGCCATTCATGCTGCGCCCGGCCCTTGTCCAGGCCGGCTGGGAAGGGTCCCTCGGGTCTGTCTCGGGACAGAAAGGGGAGGGCTCTGCGTCCCGACGCCCGGTGGCCTGAGGTCACCCCGACACGCACAGCCAGGGCCCGTTCCGCACCAGCTCAGAAGCTGCTCTGCCACCGTGTCACAGCCCCCCACCCCTCACCCCGCATTAGAACCCGGCTGTGGCTCCCACGTGGGGAGACCGCGGGGCGGGCGGTGCACCTGTCCTGGGTGCACTGCCCCGCCACTGTGGGGCTGTGAGCGATGGAGGGGGGATGTGTCCCGGGGACCTCCTGCTATCTGGGTCCCAGTTCCGGTGACCGAGGTGGGTCCAGAGCTGAGCAACACAGCGCGGGGAGCACGAGAAATGGGGCAGAGGCTGCTGGCAGACGGCGGGAGGGGGCGGGGAGGCCAGAGGGGGAGCTGGAGCTGGCAGGGGTGTGGTGGGCAGGTGTCCCACGTGATGGACAGCCCAGCACTCAGGGACAAGAGCAGCAGGGTGCCGACCTCATGTCCTGACCAGACCCAGTGGACGGGGCTTCCTGGCCTTGTTAGTGGGCAGGGACACTGAGGCTCGGAGGGTGTCACCGTGGGCGGGCTCTGGCAGCTGGGGGGGTGGGCGGCCAGGGGCTCCCCTCCGAGACCACGCCCACCCTTCCGTCTCCTCCATCTTCCCGCCCTGCACTGCTCCCAGAGGCACGTGGCCGCAGTGGCTCCGTGGGATCTGTTGAGCGACAGGCCCAGAGCCGGGTTCTGTGCGCCCGGTCCCGGTCCTGGTCCTGGTCCCAGTCCTGGTGACAGCCGGCGGTCCCTTCCTGCCACGCGCTCCCCTCTGGGCTCTGGGTGCTCTGGAGAACCAGGCCTGGGTGCTGTCCTGGCGCCGTCCAGCGTGGGCTGAGGCACGGGCTGGTGGAGGAGGCCCAGCGAGGGCCCGGGCGGCTGCGGGCTCAGATGGCGTTGACGCCTGTCGCCTGTGCTTCTCAAAGCAGGTCAGGAAGTGGCGGCGAGGAAGGAGTGCTGGTGGTGGCTGGCCTGCCCAGGGTGAGCTGGGGCCCGAGGTCCTCCCCTGGCCAGTGCGTAGCCGGGACAGCTGTGGTCAGGCTCAGGGGTGACCTAATGGGGACGCCCAGTTCCTCTGCCAAACCCTTGCTGAAGCCGCACCTCTCCCTGACTTCTGCCCACTTCTAGCAGGCTCCAGAAGTGCCAGCCACCTCATCTGCTGCCATGCATGTGTGTCGTGGTGACCGCTGGCCCCGGTTCGCCCCGACCTCCCCCGTCAGACATGGTTGATTGAAGAGTAGTCTGGTGATGGAGGAGGCGGAGCCCCGCCTGAGGCTGTCCCTGGGCTCACGGCCACGTGTGCCTGCCCACTCTCTGGGGACGGGAGCCCCCCTTTGCTGTACCCTGCCATCAGTCAGCCTCTGAGTGCACCCCACTGAGCAGGGAGCGACCTAAGAAGCCACACAGCTGACCAGTGGGCCTAGCGTTGAACCCCAACAAAGAGCACGTGAGGGAAACTGAGGCACAACGGCTCCTGGGGTGGGCCAGGCCCCAGGGTGATCCAGGAGCCTGCCTCTGCCCCCTCCTCTCTCTCTCCTGGGCTGGGGTCCTCTGGTTGCTGCTGCAGGCTCTGGGGTGGAGCCAGGGCACGGGGAGGGGGTGGGGGGAAGGGAACAGTGGGTGTGGCTGCTTGGACTGCTGATCAAGGGGCAGAGCTCCTGCCCCCCACCTTGAGGAAGCCACAGCCCGCAGGGTGCTCAGCGCCATCTGCTGGCTGTTCTGCCCCATGCCACCCGAGGGACCTGGTAGAGGGTGTGCCCAGCCCCCTCCCCCCAACTCCGACTCCCTCAAGCACTTCCCAGGGGCTCAAGCCCTGGTCGGAGAACCAGTGTCCTCTGTGTGGTGCGCAGGGTGACAACAGCTGGTCACTGCGCAGGTGGCACCAGGAGACTCAGGACCCTCAGCCACCCTGCCCTGCCTCTGGCCCCGCCGGGACAAGCCTTGGGGGCACTTGGGTCCTGTCCGCCGGAGTTGAGGCCAAGGAACAGGATCAGAACCTCTGTTTACGCTTCCTTATGGGTGGCCGCGGCCACGGACAGTGCACCACAGCCCCCAGGTCCGGGACGGTGCTCGTCCCTTCCCGGGGGGGCTCCCAGGGAGCAGGAGCTGCCCCGTGCACTGGGCAAGGCCACAGCCGCCTCCCCTACCCCGATTGCCGCTGAGAGCAAAGCCCCCGGGCCAGCCGCTCACCTTCCTTGCTATGGATGGGACCGGTGGTCTGGCCTCCCTGGGCGGGCACTGAATGGCACTGCCCGTCTGAGGGCTCAGAGCGTGGCACTGCCTTGCTGGGCAGGAACGAGATGCCGTGATGCCAGAAGGTCAGGGCCATGGTCTCCTGGCCTGAAGGTAGCCCTTACCCCTCAGCCTCTCCCAGCTGCCAGGGAGGTGCTGTGTCTGCCTGTCCGTCTTCCTGCTGCCCAGCTAGCCGGTGCGGCCCCAGGTCCCGCCCACTCTCCTTTCCTAGAGCCTCAGTCCCCCACCACGCTAGGAGAGGTGGGAGCTGCCCCGGCCACTCCCCCTGGGGGGCCAGGTTCCCTTCCAGAAGCATCCTGCAGCACCCCCCAGCTGTGGTCAGCTCGGGCCTGGACCTGGGCTTGTGGGAGGTGAGGGAGAGAAGCACGCCCGTGGCCACTAGCAGGCGGAGGGGCGCGGCCAGGCGGATGCTTAGCGCGGCCGGACATGTGCTGGCCATCGGCAGGTGCCAGCCCCTGCCCAGTGTCTCCGGTCCGGGAGCCCCTTGGAGGCCGCGGCCACTCCTGTGCACATGGCACAGGACACATGTGTGTGTCCCAGGCGGCCGCCTGCTCCCCGGCTCCGTGGTCTCCTGCAGGTCTCCTGGTGGCGGCAGCTGGAGAGGAGTTTGCTGTTCCCAGGGCCCTAGCTGCCCCCACCCCCTCCACCTGCTGGAGCCCCCGTGCCCTGAGCTCGCCCCCTCCCTCCAGGAGGCGTCTCCAGAAGCCACGAAGCCATCTCGGCGTGAGACTGACCGCCCTTTGGGGTGAGGTAGTAGGTTGTATAGTTTGGGGCTCCGCCCTGCTATGGGATAACTATACAATCTACTGTCTTTCCTGAAGTGGTGTGATATCTGCGGTGGACGGCGTCCAGGACCCCGGCGCAGGAGGGCAGCTTGGCCTGGGAGGGGGCCGAAGCTGGGCCGGCCTGGCAGGGTCTGCTGCCGTGAGCCCTCGCTGGGCCTGTCTCTTCATCGGTAAAGTGGGGCAAGTGTGTGACATGTCCAGGCTAACATTGCCCACTGCCTCCACCAGGTCCAGGCTGTACACCGGGGAGGCGGCCAGGGGGCGAGGAGTGTCCACTCCAGATGCTGGCCTGTGCCCTAGCCCGTCCCCCTCTGGTCACCTCCACCCGAGGAGAGAAGTGGCCCCGAGCCTCCTGTGGCACAGCACGGCAGAGCCCGCCGGTGGCTGGGGGTGGGTGCCGCTGAGACGCCATCTCCACTTTCCCTCCCGCCCTGCGCCTGCCCGGCCTCGAGCTGTGGCGGCCGAGGCCCCGGGCAGGCAGGGCTGGGCACAGGCGGTGCGGGCACCTCGGGGTGAGGTAGTAGGTTGTGTGGTTTCAGGGCAGCGGTGTCGCCCCTCAGCAGATAACTATACAGCCTACTGCCTTCCCCGAGGGGTCCAGTGGCATGGCCGCCCGGGCGGTGTGGCCCGGGCACAACAAGAGGTGCGCTGACCCCAGTTTGGAATCGGCCGCTCTTCACCCTGGAAGGCCAGGGGCCCGGCGGGGCAGGGTGCCGGTGCGCCTGCTACGGCGGCTCTGGGCAGTGGGCTTGCCTTCCTGCACCTCCCCGGCAGTCCCAGCCCCCTGCCCCGCCTGGGCCGCCCCTGGGCCAGGTGAGTGGAACGCTGAGAGCCAGGCTGCCCTGGCGCCGCCCAGTCGTGGGCCTGGGGCCTGGCCGCTGCCCGACCGGAGCTGTGGCGCCTGGCTCCCTCATGGTTCCCTGGCAGCCTGAGTCCATGCCAGCAGTTGCCCACCCTCCTCCTGGGAACCCCAGGTCCTGTGGGCCAGCAGCAGCAGGGGGCCGGGCCCAGTGTGCACCTGGGCGGGCGGAGGGAGCCCTGTCCAGGGCAGGTGCTGGCACAGCTGGGTCCGTACCCTGGCCTGAGGGCCCCCAGCCGCCTCCCTCCTACGGATGGCCACCCCTGGTTGCCATCTTGGCTGCGGCTTCCAGCCCGAGTCCCCCTGGTTCTCTGCAGATGTTCCCCGGCCGGAGCAGGCCAGCGCCCCGACCCTTACTCCATCAGGCCCCAAACAGAACCGCAGGGGCGTGAGGCGGACACGCAGGGGAAGGGCCTCTGCAGGGGGGCTGCTGGGCATCTCCTCCGGGTTCTATGGGCCCCTCTGTCCCCTGAACAGCCTTCCTGCTCACACGTCCACCTCCAGGCCTGAGTCCCAGGCCAGCCCCTGCCCTCACTGCCCCCTGGTGCCAGACCCCCACCCCCACCTCATCACTGTCTCCCCCCACACCTGTGCGCCGTGCCAGCAGCGCCCCACCCCCGCCGGCCCACGCCAGTCTGTGAGCAGAGGCCCCAGGGGTCTCCAGGGGTCGGCCGTTCCTCTGGCGCCTGCACTGCAGGAGGAGCCCAGTGCTGCCCTGCGGCACTCGAGGCCTGGCGAGGGAGTGACCTGGGCACAGCAGCACCCACTGTGGCGAGGAGCCCTGGCCCCAGCCCCGCAGTCAAGGCAGCTTCCTGGAGGAGGTGACACCCAGTTCACGCTGTGTCCCTGCAGCCAGCCCGGCTGACGCCATCCCCAGAGCCCAGGGCGTCAGAACCAGCCCAGAAGGTGGGGGTGAGGAGCAGGGTGGGGGCCGCCACCTCCTGGGCAGCAGCAGCAGTGCAGCCTGGGATGCCGGAGGGCCCTTTACTGGCTGCTGGTGTCGGTCACGACAGTTGCGGCCTCACAGGGAGGCCTGAGGACAGAGCAGTCACGGGCCGGGAGGGGCTGGGTAGGCCCTGGGCCCTGATCCTCGGCGCCACCTGCTGCCTGGTTGGGGGAGTGACTCCTGGCCTCGTTCTGGGCCCTGCCTGGGCTTGGGGGGTGCTGGACTCACCCACCGCTGGCTCTGCCTGAGTTCCCCCTGGGGCACGGTCAGCGGTGTGCCAGGGCGGGGGGCCACTCTGACCCCTCGCAGCCAGGCGGGGCCTCCTGGGAAGCGACTCGCAGACCCCAGGGCTCCGGGGCGGCCCGCGTGCCTGCCGGAGCCCCCGGTGCTTGCGAAGCAGTTTCTTGCAAGGGAGCCCCGCACCAGGGGGCGCTTGTGCAGGCTGACGGCGTGTGCGTGCACCGTGCCGGGAATGCCTGTTTGATCGCACAGGGGTCCGCGGTGTCCGAATGCGCTCCCCAGGGACCCCAGACACCCAAGCCCTCAGCCCCTCAGCCTCAGCCCCGCGCAGGGCCGGTGGCTTGCGATGCCTGGCGCAGTGCACATGCTGGGTAATGCAGTGACACCGTGTTTGGGGAATAACAAGAAAAACGTCTGTGCGGGTTCGGTCCTGATGCACTTGTTTCTATTAAAGATTTATTTCTGTGGAAGGCAGAGTTGGGGGCAGGGAGAGATGTTTTCACCCATGCATAGTTTCTTCCTCGTAATTTGATCATAATTTTTCCGAGTTTTTCGTATTCTGTAACCGGCTCAATTTTGTGGCAACTTTTGGAAGATTCCCTCACAGGCCTGGATTTCAAAACATTTTTGCGCCAAAATAAATTATCTTTCGACTCCATTTTACATGAACTTTTGGAAGCCCTTGTGCAGCGCCTGCGTGAGTCCAGCCTGGGTTCTAAATTCTGCGATTCGTTACGGAGGAAGGCCCAGAGTTCCCGGGCAGGGTGGGCGCCCGCTTCCTGGCTGGAGCAGAGGCGGCGCCGGCCCCATGGCCACTGCTCGACAGCGGCACCGTGTGGCAGCCGGGAGCCACCCTCGCGCTGCTGCGGTCCCGGGGCTCCTTCCCGGCCCTGGAAGCCTCGGGTTCAAGGACGGCTCGGAGAGGGTCCCAGGAGGGTTCCCCGTGCCCCGAGTTGCAATCCAGGCCTTTCCTGGGCCCCGCACCTGCTCTGCATGGCCAGCTCGAGCTGCGGGCATCACAGGGATGTGTTGGGCAGCCCTGCTGACGGCACAGGGGAGGGCCTGGCCGCGTCCTGCTCACACTCGCTCACTGCCAAAGAGCCAGTGTCACAGCCCATGGGGGGCCCTGGGGAGCTGGGCCTGGGGCTGGAGGGAGGACCCTAGAGGGGCCACAGGGCCTGGGTCTCACTCCACTGCACAGCGCCGGTGGCCTTCAGTGCATATGGGCTCCTGCTGTCACCTGAGATAGGCAGGACCTGAGATCAGGACAGGCCATGGGACCTGAGGGGCTCAGGGGAGTCCCTGTGGAGCTGGGTGGCCAGGGCCAGTCACTGCCCCAGCTCAGCATCTTTGTCTTGGTGGGGTTGGGGGTGCAACCAGACAGCATCCTGGTTGTACAGGTCAGACCTAGGACAACTAGAGAGCTGAGGTGGACAGGGAGGGGAGGGCCTTCAGGTCTGGCTTGTTCAAGGGGCTCAGCTTCCCACCATAGCCCCTGCTTTTGCTGAGCCTGGAGGCAGGTAAGGCTGCTAAGGCCCCCAGTTCAAGTCCACACTCCCACCAGCCAGCGCCCTGCCTCTTCCCAGCCCCTCCAAGGCCCCCGGTCCTCCTGGGCTGTCCAGTGCCAGAAGCCCCAGCTGCTGTGTTTAGGTGGGTAGCCAGGTCTCTAAGTGGGAGTGGCCTAGCTGGGCAGCCCTCACCCATGATGCTCCTCTGGTATGGGGGGGTGTCTGTCTTCAGGACAACCCCAGAAGCACTGCCGTGCTGAGCCCATTTCATGGACGTGGAGATGGAGGTTCAGACACAGTGACTTTCCCCGGTCACATCGCAGGCCAGGGTGGAGCTGGAATGAGCCACCAGGTCCATCCAGGCTTCCTGGATGCCTGGGGTGGGAGAGGGCAGAGGGGACAGGGGAGGAACAGGCGGCGTTCTGGCCTGCACCTGGGGGCCCACCTTGGCTGGAGGCACCTGGCTCCCTGTACACCATGGTCTGGGCCTCCCAGAAGAGGCTCCCCTGGGACTTGCCCTGGCTCCAGAGCTGGGGCCTGACCTTGGGGGCCTGGACCGCAGCACTGGACTTTCTCCTCCAGAGCGGGCCGCCAAGCCCCAGGTAGCAGCGCCGTCCACTCCGCGAGAACGGCCCACCTGCTGCGGTCTCCCAGCGGCTGGATGGAGGACCCCAGCGACTGTCCTGGGGGTCCTCGCGCCAGCCCACCCTCAGCCCTCCCTTGTCCCCCCTCAGTCTCCCGGTGTCCTGGGCCAGCCCATCCTCCCACACAGCAGAGGGGCAGAGGCCAGGCTGCAGCTATGCCCTGGGGCCCCAGGAAAAGCTGAAGACAGGACCCGGCTCCATGGGACCGAGAGGTCCCCAGGCAGCGGGCACGGCCCTGGAACCCGCGCCGAGGCAGGCCGAGCTGGCGGCCCCGTGGGAGGAAGAAGACCAGTGCCGCTCCGCAGAACCCGCCGCTGGCTTCCCCTGGCCTGCCTCCCGCCGAGACCTGCGCCCCAGCCCGGGGCCGGGCGAGGCGGGGCTGCAGCCTGCAGTGGCCGCTGCCTCGCCTGTAACGCTGGATGCGTCTGCTCTTTTTTTTTTTTTTTTTTAAGATTTATTTTATTTATTTGAAAGGCACGGTGAGAAGAGGAGAGAGGGCTTCCACCCACTGGTTCACGCCTTAAGTGACTACAACAGTCAGGGCTGAGCCAGGAGCTGCTTCCAGGCCTCCCGCATCTGCCGCTGCTTTCCCGGTGCATCAGCAGGGAGCTGGATCAGAAGTGGAGCAGCTGGGACTCGAACCGGTGCCCTCATGGGAGGCCTGCACTGCCGGCGGTGGCTTCAGCCATGACGCCACAGCGCCGGCCCGAGAGGCTTCTGTTCTTGAGCAGAGCCCTCAGCTGCTGACACGTCCTCCTCTCCCGGGCAGGGGGAGCCTTGGGCCTGGGTGTGAAGTTCCGACCCCGTCCCAGGTACTCGGGGCCAAGAGCGAGGCAGGTGTCCCCCGCAGAGGTCCTGGCCAGCAGTGGGCTCAGAGGACAGTGCATGGGCACGGGGTGGGGCCCACAAGGACCAGCAGCTGCCAGGCCTTTACTCAGCCAGAGGAGGCCGACCAGACTGCCAGGGGCGGTCAGGTAGTGTGAGACGGCCAGGGGTCCACGTGGGAGACCCCCTACGCCGTGTTAACCTGGCTGCCTGGACAGACGGGCACTGGATGGACGTCAGGAGGCCTGAGGGACCCAGGGAGCGCCTGACCCCTCTGTGGGCCTCAGTTTCCCACCCACACAGCAGTGAGGACTTAGGAGTGCGTTCAGCTGTGGCTCAGGACGCTGCATCTTCCAGCTGGACCACCAGGTGGCGCCTCGCACCAGCGGGAAGGCGGTCGGCGCGGGGCAGTGCCCCTCACGTCCCCAAGGCTGAGACCTCAGGTACGGTTGCTGCCATGCGGTCCCGTGGCAAAGCCGTCTGCATGGTCGGCTTGGAGGAGGTGGGGCAGGGCCCTCACTTGGCAGATTTGGCACCAGCCTGGCCACTGACAGGGCGCTGTCAATT